CACCATCTCTTCCATCCCCCCCACCCCCTCCTCCCCCGAGGAGGAATAGACAGATTACTGCTATCTGTGCACACAGCAGCCTGCAGCTGCTCTGACCAGGGCTAGCCCAACATTGGGAGAAAGCAAGAGGAACTCAGAGGAGGAAAAGAGAGGGGAGTTCTTTAGCCTTTTTTTGTCTCTCAGTCTCTGTCACAACAGGGCTAATCACCGACCGACTAGCCCTTTGGCAAAGTCACAGTGAGGGAGGTCTCTCCACCAAACAGGCGACCAGCCGACAAGCCAACACGTGTCAGGACCTGACAGAACTGGGGATTTTTATTTATTTTAAGTGGTTACTTCTTCTCTCCTCTTCTGCCGTGTTTAACTGCATTATGGATCATTGTGATTTATCCACAGTGGAGCTGCATTTTGGATTCTGCAGCCTGGCAGGGGGGCAGTTAGTGGGGGCAGATGGAATACGGTCACCTGCCAAGCCTTCACGGCCTTACCTCTGCCTGTGAGTTTTTCATGCTGCTTTCAGTCTTTAATACCAGGAGCCATTTTGTAACCTTGGCTAATAGGGGGCCGCCACACTTTTTCAGAACGAGAAACCAAGAAAACATCTATCTTGTGTCTTTCCATGGAAAGGAACTATAAATGAATGTGATGCATGACTGTTTCTTTTAAGAATTGAAAAGAGGGAAAAGGGACCACTTTCAAACTAATGAGGTATGTCACTGATACAGTTATTCAGCCTTTTTTCTTACAATGCTGCACTGGTTTTCCTCTGCTTCATCTCTTGTATTAATCTCCCTCACTCTCTCTTTGTTCCTCTTTTTTTCCTTTTCTCTTTCACGCATAAATTTCAATGTAGCATCTCCCGGCACTGTCGATGGAACTTGGGAGCCTTGGGTTGCTCCAGCCAGGCTAGGGTGGTCTGTCCTCTGGTGTGTGCCGTATCCCCCCACCATGCAGAATAATGAGCCCTCCACACCATGAGTCCTCTGGGCCAGGTTAGTGTGCAGCCTACCTGGAACGCAGCCCTGCTCACTGTGCTCTCCCTCATGGTGCCTGCTCTCAGTATGTGCCAGTCCACAGGCCCTGCGCCGGGTTCATCTAACCCACAGAACTGTCCAGGTGTGTGCTCCTGCACTAATCAGCTCAGCAAGGTGGTGTGTACTCGCAGAGGCCTGATTAGGGTTCCTCCAAACATCCCAACCAACACCAGGTACCTGAACTTAATGGAAAACAGCATAGAGACCATACAGGCAGACACATTCAGACACCTGCATCACTTGGAGGTACTGCAGTTAGGTAGAAATGCTATCAGGCAGATTGAAGTGGGTGCCTTCAATGGTCTGACCAGTCTCAATACACTGGAGCTGTTTGACAATAGACTGACGGTCATACCCAGTGGAGCTTTTGAGTATCTGTCAAAGTTGAGAGAGTTGTGGCTAAGAAACAATCCCATTGAAAGCATCCCCTCTTATGCCTTCAACCGTGTCCCATCACTCATGAGACTGGACCTGGGAGAGCTGCGAAAATTGGAGTACATCTCTGATGGGGCATTCGAAGGCCTTCAGAACCTGAAGTATCTCAACTTGGGGATGTGCAACCTGAGGGAGTTTCCTCATCTTTCACCTCTGGTGGGATTAGAGGAACTAGAAATATCAGAAAATGTTTTCCCTGAACTGAAGCCTGGGGCCTTCCGTGGGCTCAAGAATTTACGTAAACTGTGGATTATGAACTCCGTCATCACTACCATTGAGAGGAATGCATTTGATGATATCACAGCCTTGGTGGAGCTCAATTTAGCCCATAATAACCTGTCATCCCTCCCTCATAACCTCTTCACCCCTCTGCAGTACCTGGTGGAGCTACACCTGCACCACAACCCTTGGAGATGTGACTGTGATGTAGTGTGGCTTTCCTGGTGGCTCAGAGAATACATTCCCACAAATTCAACTTGCTGTGGACGCTGCCACACCCCGGCCCACATGAAAGGACGATACTTGGTGGAAGTTGATCAGACTACATTTCAGTGCTCAGCACCATTCATACTCGATGCGCCTAGAGATCTGAACATCTCAGCTGCGAGGGTGGCAGAGCTGAAGTGTCGCACAGCTGCCATGAGCTCAGTTCGATGGCTTCTCCCCAATGGGACTGTATTGACCCATGGCTCAGCTCACCCACGAATATCTGTCCTTAACGACGGGACACTAAACTTCTCCAATGTTCTCCCATCAGACACAGGGGTCTACACCTGTATGGTAAGCAACATGGCAGGAAATTCCAATGCCTCTGCCTATCTAAATGTCAGCAATGCTGAGCTCAACACATCTAATCTGTCCTACTTTACCACCATAACCGTGGAATCTTCAGAGCCCACAGCGAAGGAAACCCCTAAACCCAAACCTACTGTCCCTGCTTCGCCCTCTGTCTTTCAGCCCGTCTTCATCTCCACACCTACTGTGCTGTTCCAAAACACTCAGACTCCAAGGCAGGTGTCAATCCCCACTGCCAGAGTCTCTATTGGGCCAGCCGCCAGCCTGGATGAGGTGATGAAAACCACCAAAATCATCATTGGCTGTTTTGTTGCTGTTACTTTGTTGGCAGCTGCCATGTTGATAGCATTCTATAAGTTGCGTAAGCGGCATCAACAGAGAAGCACGGTGGCAGCAGCCAGGACCATAGAAATCATACAGATGGAGGAAGAAGTTCCTCCTGTTCCACCACCCACCTCCAGATCTAGTGGCTCTGATGACACAGGGCTGGTACTGCCTACGTTAGTGGAACACAACAGCAACACCTTTAAACCTGGGTATGTGTCCTCCTCCTCCTCCTCATCCCGTCAAGGGGGCTATGGAGCCCACTGGACCCAGAACAACTCTCTTCATCGTTCAGTCAGACAGCATCACAGCCATATCAACACCATTGCTGATCCCTACATCATTAAAACTACTCATGGCAAGGAGAAAGTTCAAGAGACCCAGATCTGATTAATGCTCGTTATGGATTTATCTCTGACTCCGTCCCAGCGTCTGCTCTCCACCTATCTGCTCACCAGTCCATGCAATAGAATGCACAAAGAACAAAACGGTAACTTTCTTTTGTACAGAAGTGCAAAACAGAGACAGTTTTTTTTTTTGTTTCTTGTTCCTTGAAACTACTGTCAGGAAGTGGTGAGATTGACAGATTATATTAAAAAAAGTCATTTGAAATTATTTTCTAATAACTGGTGACTTCTATTTAAAAAAAGACAAAGAAAATGAATTGCTTTTGTGGTTGATAATAGAAGCTGGTCCTGTCTACTGTAGGAAAAGAGGCATTCGGTTTGTTTTTGACCATATTTAAGATGCAGTAACAACTCTTTATACAGGCACCAGTTTCTAAATACAGCCCTAATTGTAAGCTCCAGTTTTTATTGTGCCAAATATTATATGCAATAAAATGGTATTTCAGACTAAGGAAGACAAAAGGACACACAAGCAAAATCTAGATTAATAGATCTAGAAACATTTGTCTAAGGATAGCAACGTAATGGCACAGATAGAATGTGCTATTCAGTAGCTATCAGCCAAATGCTTTTGGACTGCAGTGAATTTCTGCAGCTAAGGTTTAACCCTCTATTCGCTGGAGCTAAGCTGCGTTTATTTGATAGTGCCAGTGCTTCTTAGTTGTAGCGTATATAAACCTGTTTATTTAGTGTGCTCATGATTCCCCACTGGTTCAACTGGCAAAGATAAAGTGCAGGCTAATAACAGCTGTTGCAGATACTTTGTTCTGTTATTGGTTGCATTTTGTATTATTTCTTTTCCCTTAGGTTTTGACATGCTTCTTAATTAATGGCTTGTGTAGTGTTTAGGGCTAATTTAGTAATGCATTACAGCAGCTGCCTGACTTGTCTCTGCAAGGGCTCATTGCGATGCTAGTTTTTCAAAGGAACAGACATGGTGCAGTGATACTGGGCTTTGCTGACCGTTCTGCTTTTGGAGGAAAAAAAAAACAGAACTGAAGTGAAACAGAATGAATGTCTGATGCTGGGGCTTTTCATGGACTTCACTGAAACATTACTTCTTTTTTTTTTAAAGGTTTAATTTGAGCAACAATATTTTTATGGAGAGACAAAGGAAGCTATGAAAAATAAAAACCTTTGGTTTGTATTTCTCTAATCAGAAACACATTCATCTGATGTTTTCCTTCTCTCTGAATATATTTCCATTTGTGTGTAAGTTGTTTTAACTTAAAGACTTGAGGCAGTATTGTGAATCGTGTCCTACCCCAAACTCCCTATCTTACGGTCCTATGCATTTACTTAGTGTCTGCATGAATGGGTCTTTAAGTAACTGGTGTACAATGCTGCATTATACCCCACAGTGGGGCTCTATGCAGGTCAGACAGGCTGTTGGTCTTTGATGCCTCAGCTTAGTTCTTAACATTGATTTCTCAGTGACTGTGAAGGGGAAAAATACATGTATCCCACAGTACTCCAGTTTGTGGGTCTCTTTTCCTCACATGCTCACCTGCAGATTTTAGGTTCTATCCGAATCTGACATTTATCAAGTGGAGAAAAAACTTTATATTGTGTTTTAATCAGAAGACAAACACTCATCAGTAGTTAATTGTGATATGAGGAAGAACACAAGTCTACTTCAGCAAAGTACTACCAGAATGCAATCTAAACGGATCATCCAACAATAAGAAAATGGACTGATTTTTATTTATTTTTTGCAGATGCTGTATGTGTCGGTGCATTTCTGAACAATCTAAATAATCACGATGTCATGCAGTTAAAAAGCCAGCTCCCATAAATAAGTGTGCCTAGTCTTTGTGGTGACTGAAAACGCCTTACCTATGACCTTGTGCTGCTGTCTGTCATACAACCACTCACCAGTCCTCCTTATTTTGTACTGATTATGAAAAATGGTTTTCAAGCCTACAGGTTACTGGTCATTTAAACACGTTATGTTGCAATAAAAAGTGCTCCTATTGAGGTGATTTGGGATAAGGAGGAAATTACAGAATGACTCATGTGATAATTACGGAGCATGGTGAGTTGATAGGAACACAACGGCTTCATTTAAAACCTACAGGCTGAAGTTCCCGCGCCATCAAGAGATAGTAAATATTGTGCTGTCAGGCACCAACTCGAATTATGTTACTAGATGTATATATGCACATATTCTCTAACATCAACAATAAAATGATTGCATTACAGTATGTACCCCTCTGATGCAGTGAAACAAAACAAGGACAACAATTATGTAACAGTCTGGAATACAGGTGGAGTGGGACTTTGTTTGATATATTTTTTAAATATATGTATAGTTTAAATAGGAAGTGCCATACATATAAACAAACTAAGGCATATAATATAGTACTGACATAAAGGAAATACCTCTGGTGATATTTTCAATTAGGAGGTTTTCTCAACTCTGCATGGATGGATGGATGGAGAAGTGCTAGTGTTTTCTGCCAGCCCACCTGGCTGTGTATGAGTACAGGTGGGCCTCAACAAGCAGATGGAACTCTTATCACTATGTCAAGTGTTTCTTCGTTTTCTCCAAGGAAATGTGAGTGCATCACACTGCTGAATATTCAATCACTGCCGGAATATGCTTTGAAAAAGGAGAATGTTCTTAGTTGTTACAGTATGTGTGGGTTGAAAAAAGAGCAGCCTCTTATTATTTCCTCAGCACAGCGTGGCTCTGGACGCACTAGTGGCTTCATAAGGGGCTATTGGCTGTGTGTAAAGCCTTTAATGTGCCTGATAACCAGCCGCATACAGGAACACCAACAACTATTTCCTTTCTTCTTTTCCCTTCCTCCTCTTCCTCCTCAGTGTTAACAGCAAAATGGGAGGCAGTTCCAGAATTAATACTATCAACCATTCAGTCAATTCATGTTTGCTGCACCAGTGCCCTGGGTGAAGAGGCTGAGGGCTGGAGTGGTAATGGTCTAAACAATAATCGGTCCCTGACAGCATCAGTAGGGTTAATATGAGGCTTTTCTCTGGGGTGGGGATGCTGTCTTATCTCTAGTAGCTGAGTCAGTCATACTCTTTTATTTGGCTGTATGTCACTTCATTGCAAATTAGCTGTGAAGATGTCTTGTCATAACTGCTGCCGTCTCCCTTTCTCTGCCCCCCCTCCTCTTTATCACTCACTAATTAACTTAAAAATCATTGACTGAAACTCCCCCACTATAGGTTGTGTTTCAGCCACCGTCTTACTCTCTCCTTCTTTCTTTTGTTCTCTTTCCCCTGTTATCTGTTTGGCACAGTGACTGTCACAGATTTGCGTAGTCTCCTGGAGCATGCTTACTAATGCCCACCTGTTTTTTTCCCTCCTATTGATTTTCAGCCAATGGGTCACTGATAAAGCTTCAGCCAAAGAGGTGATGCATCATTTTGAAGTATGCAGTGTGTCAGAAGCTCTTGCTATCCATATTGTCAGAGGGTGGAAGAGGTGAAAAGAATGGCTAAGCTGCCACTATACAGTTTGTCTCACTCTGGGCTGATAGGATCTGCAGAAAGGCAACAGGGGCTGGGATAAGGCTCTACAACTAGCTGTTCTATGAGGTTAAGGGTTTGTTGGGAATAAGTCCTTGGCCTCAAGATCCATATCTGTTAATGAAGTCTCCAGCAGTAAGAAGTGTTGGTCAGATGGCAAGCCATAGCAGTTCTGTCACAGTTTCTCTGCTGACTGATGCCTTTTTGTGCCCACAAAGGGATAGTAAGAAATGATCCATGGCCCTCTTAAAAGTGACAAAAATGGACTAGACTCAATCCCTCTCTCAACACTTGATTAGTCAGCCCACATCTGACTGTGCTTTTTTGCCATACTGCTGGCCTGACCTGAGCCTACGCTCACAGTCTTAAATGTCTAGCCACTTTAATGTCTTAGCTTCTGATTCTTTTCATTTGCCGTGTCATAAAATGGCCCAGGAATTTTATATGTTCATAAAATTAAAACAAAACAAAAGAAACATAGATTTGTTTTGCAAGAATAATGAACACGCTGTAAAGAGTCAGTTTTAACAGCACTAATCATCTTAACAAGGATAATTAATAAAAACTTATTTTTGAGTTAAGGTAAAACAAGACAAAAATACAAGAGATTAGTGGGAGGGAAGAGATACAGTAACTACCTTCACAAACCACTACATCAATGTACACACAGAAATGTACAAATAGTCTACAGAAATAATTATCTGTCAGAAGACATATCCCCCTTTAGTCAGAGAACAAAAAATGTTAATCTGATTACACTGGAAAATAATTCTTATAAATAATTAAGCAAAATAACAAACACACACATACACAAAAAGGAGAAAACAATTTTGTCACAACTTAGATACATGATGGGATTTTATAATTCCTGCACCAGGTGAGTGACCTTCTCATAAAACTGATCTTGTCAGATTATTCCTTGCTGAGTATAAGCAAACTGTATCAGATGCCTAGTTCCTGTCGTTTGCTGGAGAAGCTATAAGGCTGATCTTTCTTTATTGTTATAGGGGAGTAGAGTCACTCTAAACTGCTCACATCTGCCACAATTTAGCCTCATACATGTGCATGAGTGTCCACATATCATCATATAAAATACTTTAGTTTGTCACACTGTGGTACTACAAAATACTGTATGTCACAGCCATTGTGCTGCCTTAAAGCAGACACAATCTTTATACCGCTGTACTGTATACATGTCATTGTAATGTAGGCCAGTGTGCTCAAGGATCAATGCAGCTCTGGATAAAAGGGTGGCAGCTGGAGGTTGCTCCTGGAGGTTGTCTGTCTGTCTCTATTTATCTTGTGTGTGTGTGTGTGTGTGTGTGTGTGTGAGAGAGAGAGAGAGAGAGAGAGAGAGAGCAAGAGAAAAGAGTGTCCTCTATAGCTGTGACAGCCACTGTTCTGTTATTCTAACCTCTCCCACTCACTGCAGAATGCATGCATAATCTCATGCTGGTAGGCAACATGAATGCACAGCTTTCTGGGGTTTTCCTTACATTGCCAGGGGCCCAACATTGTCAGTCAAACTTGATCTAGCTACAAAGAGATTAGCTGAGTGCTAAACTCTCATAGGTTCTGGTGTTTTTTTTGTTTTTTTTTTGCTAACATTTGGTGCGGTTCTTGATGCTGTATTGGACTGTACTGCA